GGCTGGATAAGACCCCAGTGGTAGCTAAGGGTAGGAATCTCGGGAGACAAGGTGAGGGCTTCGCCCTGCCTCGATTCCCCCTTCCCAAGAAAGAACTGAGAAGAAAAAGACAAGGCATCTGGCATATTTCTTGCCGGTTTCTGTGTCTAGCTTATCTACTTCGAGGAGTATCTGAGTATTGCTTAGAAGCATATTCCTTCAGGCTGGGCAGGAGGCTGTAAGTTGGAAGAAATGGTAGGGGAAAAAATCCGTGAAGGTAGAATTAAGTAGGTTTGACTAGATGGAGCTTGGAGGCAGTGTCCGCAGAGACCAGCCTGGTTGTAGGCGCTTGACTGAGACATTAGCAGCCTTTGGGACTAAGATCTTTCTGGATGTTCTTTGCTGCAAGTTCTTGAGGATCGTTTCTTCTTTGGCACAGAGGGAATTTCCTCAACAAATATTTTCAAGTGCGTATTGAGTCTCTCTTTCAAAAAAATTGTTCATTTAATAAACAATTTGATCTGTGATTTAAGTTGATGTAAATGCTGGAAGTACAAGAATAAATATGAAATGACCACTTTCCTCCAGGAACTCTCCTGCAATTGTCACTTCAGTAACTTGGGTAAGCATAGAAGTGTTGTCCCACAGACAAGAGAGAAAGATAATGAGATTATTTTGATGCTCCAGTTTTTCCTGGAAAGACTGGGAAGGACTCTGCATCACAAAAAGTTACTCCTAGCTTAAGCAACTCTTCTGTACTCCTTCCTTTCCACAAGCTACAGGGATATATTTTCCAGATGAAACAACCCTCAAAGTAAAGAGTCCAAGACAATAAAGCTCAACAGAACCTAACTAAAGAAACTGAAGAAAGATTAAACTGTTTGCCAGCCTCGTGTTAAGCACTTTAGCAGATATCAAAAAAGTAAGGGAAGTGGCCCTTACTCTCAGGTTTATCCTCCAGTTAGTTTAGACTGAATCTGACTTTGGACAGAGAGGGAGCAGAATGTAGTGAGGAGGAAGGGTTATAAACAATTGGCATTGACAATTGGAATTAGTGATTTGAGATTGATTTCAAGCTGTTCTGTTCAGTTGTAGGCTTTCTTAGCCTTTAATGAGAGAATAGAAAAATACAAACATTTTGGGAGGTGGAGGAGAAATTTTATGTCCTTTTCAGGCTCAACCACTAATTGAAAACCTTGGAGTCTGAAAATTTCACTCATGATTCTAATCTTGTTTGCAGGGTGTCTCAAAAGGACACCTTTCCCAGGAACATCTGTTTTCTAGCAGGGGGAATGAGGATGTTATCCAAAGATGAAATAAAGTGATTGCAAAACAAACCAGCAGTGTAAGATGTATTGCAGACGAGTGACAATACTAAGGCCTCGGTGGAATGGCTGTGCTATTCTAAAGTTCTATTCTGAATACCACTTTTTTGTCTCAAAGCTTGGAGACTAGGGGGTCCACTTGACGTAGTAGTTTGGTCTGTTATTAGAATCTTCCTTTGATGCTATTTTGTGACATTTATTAACTAAAAGCAATCTTGGGCTATTGGATTGGGTGTGGAGTATCTTGCCTGTCATTGGCAGAATAGGATAGAAGTCAAAGACTTTGCCCCATCACTATCTCCTATTATCCTGTTTTATTTTCTTCCCAGCCATTATCACTATATCAGATGATCACGTTTATTTATTCATTTACATGTTTGCTGACTTTACTCTCTGTTATATCCCCAGCTAGAATGGCACAGCAGTATCTGGCATTTAATAGGTTCTCAGAAAGTATTTATTGAATGAACGACTCAAAATAGCATCTCTACAGGAGCTCTTTTGCTATAAGGTGTGGGTGCTGTGAGGAGCACTGCAGCCTGACACCTCGTGTGCCCTCTGAGAGACTGTTGTTCCTGCTGCCAAATGGGAGCATTTATTGTATATGTACTTATTGCCTCCTTATTTTGGGTTCCTGGTCCCTCTGTCCTTCCCATGGAAGTGATCATTCCCTTCTCATTTTTCTCTGGTCTCAGTTTTATTTTTGCACTTACATCATAGTTGTCTGTCACCTCCTGATTTTAATCTGCTTGATGAATATAGTATTTTGTTTTTGTTTTTGAGGGGGAGGTAGTTAGGTTTATTTATTTGTTTAATGGAGGTACTGGAGACTGGACCCAGGACCTTGTGCATGCTAAGCACTCACTCTACCACTGAGCCATACCCTCTCCCCTGTGGTGTCTTTTATATCTTAGGATCTGCTGGCACATAGAAACAAATAAAATGCATGTTGAATGAAAAAAGTAAGTGCCTATGAAATATTTTCTGTATAATGTGGTGGGGAGAAGGGTGGTGATGGGGAAGGAGATGAAGGAAAATCAGCACAGGCTTCCTGAGGACCAGGCACCGCAACGGATGTAAGCCTTCCTTGCTCAGGGGTAGGGGACGCGCTTGGACCAGGTGGGTGGGAAGTCCCTTGTGACGGAGGTGGCACGTAAATAGGAACTGGGTGAGTGGGTGGACCCTAAGTGGGTGGGAGGCAGTGGGCAGAATCAGGGAATGTAAAGGCTGGGTGTGTAGAGGGAGGAAAGCTGCAAGATGTGTTGATTGATTACCATTACGCTAATCTGGCTGCAGTAGAGGTTCCAGGTGGGGCAGGACTTTGAGCTAAGGTTAGGGAGGAAGGTTAGGTTCAGATCAAGGGGACTTGTGGCGTGGCTGAGAAGTCAGAGCTCTACCTTATAGACAGTGGGCACCACTGAAATAGAACATCCAGAGATACTCTTTGCTTTCTGTGTAGATAAGAAATTCCTCTTAGTCAAGTCTAAATTTTCTGTGGATTTGTGTTTTCTTTACATTGCAGTCAATTGGAATCAGAAGGCTCTTGCCATAGTATTGGTTAAAAGAGAGGAACCAGGGTTAAGGTAATCACTTTTGTTGGGAAGACACTTCTTTATTATCTAAACATTCAGTCCTGGCCATACTCTTCATCCTTGTGGTGCTCATAAACTAAAGCAGTGGGTCCATGGGCTTCATTATGCCCACCTGTTCCCTCAGGAAGACCGGCAGGTGGGAATGAATAGGGAACCCTGTTTACCCTTGATCACAAACTCTTTAGCCGGCCCTGGTGGGAACAGCTTGCCCTCTCGTCCTGGTGTACTGTAATCCTCCTGGGATCTGCCTGCTGTATAATCTCAAGGGTTTTCTTCCCCCTCGCCATGCTGGCTCTCCTTAGGCCACATCTGTGTGTACCCCTTTCTTGTCTGCCTGCCTGCTTCTAAGCAGAGCCCAGCCTCCAGCAGGTTTTTGGAATTATAATTGCATTTTGCTTTGGAAGATGCTCCGAGAGCAAGTAATTATTTAAAACATATGCATTTGGCAGTACAATTCCACTTTTGTTTTAAAACCTGTTCATTCATACATATTAACAGACAAAAGACTGGAAGGTTACCTACCAAATATCAATAGTAATTATCAGTAAGGAGATTGTGGGTGAACTTAAAACGGTTTTTTTTTCTGCTTATTGTCTTAATTTTCTGCAGTGAACGTATATTTACTCAAGAAAAATACTCAGATTATTTTTAAACATACAGTTCAACAGTGACATTATCTGTATTGTTTTCCTCAAAAAGTTTCACTGTTGAAGTTAAAATAGATTTCATGTGTTTGAAATCTGAGCGTAAAGTTACAGGCAATTTTAAACAAATGTACTAGAACTTGTTATAAATGGAAATGAATGTGTCCCCTTCAGAGCTGTCACTTTGGGAGGACTTATACTTACTTCAAGGGTGCTATTACCTGAAATGTTTTTCTTTGGGGGTAGGAGATTTTTTGTTGTTGATAATTTTATTTCTTTGACTAGGTGATAAATGGTGGCATAAACTTTAAAAGGCTAAACAGAAAGGTTTTCTGATTATTTCTTGTATAACTGCTTGTTTCATGGCTGCAGTATCTTACTTCTCTGAGGCTTTTGATGATAGTTTTGTTTTTTAAAGTTTTTTTCTCCATGCCTCACATCCATTTCTTCCCCTCCTCCCCTCACCCCACCGTCTGTTTTGGTCTCTATCAGACCTGTTACAGCCTTTCCCCAGATGTCTGCTAGTCCAGTTGTTTGCTGACACTTAATAGTGGAAACCAGCATTCTAACTGGAAGCACTGAGCTCACGAAAGGGAAGGGTTTATCAACTTGGATCCCATGTAGGGGAACTGGGCTGGCATTTGTTGGCAAACAGCTTTCCCCCAGTTCTTATTATTTTAGCCTCACTATCTTCACTCCCAGGCCAGAGATTCCGCGGCTGCAGGATCCCGAGTCTTGAGGATTTAGCTGTGTAAACTGGATTGTTTCTGACTTTGCCCACTGCTGGGTGAGGATTCGCTTTTCTTGGATCTGCTTAGTTATTACTTTTTCATCAGCTTTTCCTTTAACAAAATTGTATTGCTCTTGTCCCCTCGTTTTATTCTCCATCCTAGTGGGTGTTTTGTTTGGAGGTTGGTGTTTTTGTTTGTTTTGGTGGGTGGGTGGGCAGGGAGGGTGTCTTTTAAATCACAGAAGGAGGCAAAATTGGGTGTACTTGTTCAATTTGCCATCTTAATCCAGAACTCTCCAAAACACTTTCTGAATTTCCTCATCCCTTTTTGGTGAGACAGAGCTGCTTTACAAGTCCCATGGAATATAGTTCTCAGCTCTAAAGCTTTGCCTATCTTGAACATCAACTTCACTCACAGACATAGTTCTGAGCGACTTTAGATTGTTTCTAGAAATCAGATACATCTTCCTAACTGAAGATTTACCATGTTCAAGATTTTGCCAAAGAATGTGTCGTAAGCTGTTGCTGATGCCCTAGCTGAGAAGTAACGGGTCCCAGGGGAAGGCAGATGAAGAGCATGCCGGGAAAGGATGATGCATTTCCTGAGCTGGCCTTCTTTATGACGCTTTGTTTCGGTGTATGGCCCTTCCTAGAACGAGTCTCATTGCCCTGTGACTTGTACCCAGGCTGTGAGAGCGATGCGGTGTAGGTCTTGTATGTAGGTTGACAGTGCCCCCTCCCCTAGTCGGAGCTGTTCCCAGAGAAGAGGGGCCCTCCGGTGGTCGTGATCCTAGGTGTAGAAGCTTAAGGAAGAAGTTGGTGCTTATCTGGTGTCATTTTTCCTTCCAGGCTCCTGTGACGTTTGATGACATCACGGTGTACTTGCTTCAGGAGGAATGGATGCTGCTGAGTCAGCAGCGGAAGGAGCTCTGTGGTTCTGACAAGCTGGAGGCACCACTGGGTATGGAATCCTGTTCATTTCCCCACTGCCTGACCCCAGGTCAGCATTCCCACCATGTCTGAGTATGACATACTTGGGAATTTTCTGGAACTCTACCACTGTTTTCAGGCATCTTTACACTGTTTATCCACTCAGTCCCATATCTGACTCAGCTGCACATGGATTCACACATCACCGTTTCTCTTCTCCGTTTAAATTGTCCAGAAGAAGTGGAGAGATTGGGCACATCAAGGCTAGACCTGGGTATCTCAGGATATCCTGGGGTGCCAGGTGGGAAGCCCCACCTGTGGACTGTGGAGCTGCAAGGTGCATTTGTTTCAGGTGCCCGTAGGACGCTGCAGGTGGTGGGCAGTGGTTGAACGAACATCAGATTCGCAGTGTGGAAACCTGGTCTCAGTCCCACCTCTACCACATGATGTGGTGTGCATTTGCCAAGGCCGTTAGCCTTTTTAAGCCTTGGTTTCTTCACAGGGTTGTTGTAAAGGTTTAATGAGGCAAAACTTTAAACTTTGTGCCAATGTAGGTATTCTTCATCTTTTTTATTTTGTGGATGTTCTTTCTCTGTACCATGGACAGAGGCGATTGTGTTTCAGTGTGTGTACGTGCATTTGTCCTCTTTCTGACTTCTATTTGATGACCATCTGCCAGGCCTTTCTTTGCTTCTTTTCTTCTTGGCCCCTAAGGGTTGTGGGAGCAAGTCTGAGCTCTCTGTGGATCGAGGGACTGTGCTTTCCATGCCTGCTAAAAACGGTTTGAAAACCAATTCTTTTAAACTGGAAGTGGCAAAGCAGCAGCTCACGGGCCAACTTTGGCCTCCCCCATTTTTTTTCTTTTCTTTAATCACTTTTGTTTGGCTTGTTTAAAATATTTAAATAAATCATCAATATTTAACCATTGGGAGTTTTCACACAGAAATATGATTTCTGTTTTCTCTTGAAAACTGGGGTGGTCTAGTGGTACTGGCCTGGTGTTTGGCTGGTGGCCCCCTCGTGGAATCGAGCAGCTGTCTCTGCACACGGGTTCAAATCCACAGCCTCCCACCTCTGTCTGGTTTTCTCAGATTATCATCTGGTCCCTCTTAGCATTTGAGTTTGAGCCTCTGCTCTGAACCAGTAGTTTTCTGACCTTTTTAGCCTGTGTGACCTGGATCCAGGACCTCACAGTGCTTTTCTCTGTTCCTGACTCAGGACCAACGATCGCCAACCCAGAGCTGTTCTATAAGTTTGAGCGAGGGCCAGAGCCATGGCTAGCCAGTGTCCAGGGCCAGAGGACTCTCCTGAGCCACCACCCAGGTGAGTGTGGACCTGCCCTGGGAGGAGGGGTGCTTAGCTGGAGAAGGAGCAGGAAGCTGGATGCCAGGGCTCTGGTCTCACCCTCTGCCTCTCCCTGTTCTCTGCTGACTATACACGATGTTCTTCTTCCCCAAGCTGTCACCTTATCTAAGATACACACACCTCCCCCTACATCGTTCTCCTCTCGTTTTATTTATTTTTTTCCTCCCTTTATTTATTTCTACCCGAGAGCAGATGTTTGTGTATCAGTATATATTCTAAGTCCCATGAAGGCACGACCTGGTCTTATTTACTACTCTATTCCCAGTGCTGAGAACCAAGCCTGGCACATGGTTGCTCAGTAGACAACCATGGAACAAACGGGTGAATGAATAGATGTCTGCTAAGTCCTAGGAATTGATGTTTGCTTTCCTCCTTTGACAAGCCTGCCCTGTTCGGGGATTGGCTTGGCTGGAGCCAGGCCAGATGGCCTCTTGTCATCTGACCGTAAGGTGACAGCATGAACCCAGCCCCTCCTCCGGGAGAAAAGGGAGGTGGAACAAGTTCCTGCATAAATCAAATGACGAAAATTTGCTCTCCCTTGTGATCTGTCTCAGATGGACCACATAGAGCCCTAGATTCACAGATACTAATTTGGTTTGTTTTTCTTGTACTTGGCTCTTAATTTTGAGCCTCTTTACTCTTTGTTAGCAGCTGTGTGCTTCTGGGGTTGGCCACAGTTTCATAGACTGATCTATTGCCCTGCAACAGATACTGTTGGGTCCTTGGCCACGAGGCCTCTGAACTTGTTGATGCATAAAAAATGGCTCCAGAGGATTTAGAGTTGTCTAAGCTGCATTTCAATGAAGGAGTGAATAAAGAAACTTCTGGTTTAGCTTCAAGAAGGAAAATCTTAGTGAGGTCATGGGAGTTTTCACCTCTTTGAAGGGTGGCGTGAGACAGGAATTAGACTTGTGTTTCTCTTGAGGGCTGGAGTAGCACCCCTGGGTGGAAGTTACTCAAAGATGGATTGCAGCTTTAGGAAAATTCTCTGGGGACCAATATTGCCTGCCCAGGAGGTAGGTCACTCTCTTGCCCTAAAGGTACATGAGCAAAGTGCAGATGCCTGTCTGGCAGGGGTACCATGGAAGGGGATTCCCACTGAGTGTGGAGTGGAAGTGTTTGCTTCAATTACCTTTTTTCACCCTGCATTCTCCTAGTTCAGTGTACTTATCCATAAATAAGTCTGCTCTCCTGAAGACTGTGCCACTGTCTTGGGTTGCAGAGATCAAATTACAAAGATCTCTTTTTGGCCAGGTGTATCTGTCCTTTAAATTAAAAAAAAAAAAAAGGTTTGCTTAAAGCCCATTTGGTTTCTTCTGGGTCAGGCAAGGCGGGCCTGGGGCTGGGAGACTGAGCGACAAGAACGTGAGGCAGGCTGTCACTTTGTGGGTGTGGTTCCCAGCTTCGTGTCCATGCATCTGAGTGCCTTTGTGAGTTGCAGTGACTCTGCCTATAAGATTTCAGAGCAAATTCCATCTGTCTCTTTTCTTCAAAGGAAAAAGCAAGGTGGGCTTCATGGAAGAAACGGATGTGCAAAGTCCAGCCAGAGAAGCTGGTCTGTACCTGCCACCTCAGAAGAAAGCCTGCCTTTCCCACTTCAGCTCAGAGAGTGGCAGCATCGAGGTAGACTGTATGGGAAAAAACAAAAAGCACTTAAAACCTCGGTCTATCCAGAAGTCATGGTTTGCACAGTTCCCATGGCTGGTCATGAACAAGGAGCAAACGGCTCTCTTTTGCTCTGCTTGCCGGGAGTACCCATCTGTCAGGGACAAACGGTCAAGATTAATAGAAGGTTACACAGGACCATTCAAGGTGGAGACTCTCAAATACCACGGCAAGAGCAAAGCCCACGTGTTCTGTGTCAAGGCCTTGGCAGCACGGGATCCCATCTGGGCAGCCCGTTTCCAGAGCATCCAAGATGCATCTGGAGATGTACTGGCCGGCCCGGAGCACCTCTTCACTGCAGATTATCCCATATTTTACCCCCCAGGGCCTCTGGAGACCTTTGATAACATGGCCCAGCTCCTGCCCAGCTCGAGAGCTGCCCTGGAGGACCCTGGGGGGAATGGAGCAATTCCTGCATTGTACATAGACTACATTTCCGATTTCAAGCAAAAAGAAATTGCTGATGACATCCGTGGCTCCTCAAACGTTAACATTTTGTGTAATGACTCTGCTGAACCCCGTGGACAGGTAATATGTTTCTAATGATTGCTGTATCTCAAGGGCAAGGATTCCATACTGAGAACAACATATATTGCATGATGATGACGAAAAAATTCCATTAGCCATATCTGCTGCTAACATATAATGTTACCATGAGCTCACATGCTTTATCATGTGCTAGGCATTGTTTTAAGTGCTTTACATGTATTATCTCCTTTATTTATGACGACAGCCCCATTATCATCATCTCCTTTTGACAGATAACAAAACGTAATTAGTGGGACGGGATATCCTGACTTCTGACATACAGGGAACACCTAAATTCAGAACAATAATCTTTATCTTGAATCCAAAATGACCACAGAACTCAAGAAGTAATCCATAACCACAAAACAACCTCAGAGCTCTTAAGGAATTTTAAAAATATTTTCAACTTTAGCTTTGGAACCATGTAGCACTTTTAAACATTGTGAAATCTCTTCACACTTGTTCCTTTATGTCATGTTTTTAATGCTGCTCTGAGGCTTGTGGAGCAAGGCTGGTTAAACTCATCTCGTTGGGCGGCATCTAAGACTCAGGGGGTGGGACATAGCCAGAGTTGAAGGGCCGTCGTGTTGGTGGCCTCTCCCCACAGCCCTTGAGTGCCAGCCCAGTGCTCCCCTTCTGCTCCCTGCGGGGCTGGTGGAGCCTACAAGGCCCTAGTTCTCATCTCAGGTTTATTTTGTAATTGTCTAACTCTTTGGGAAATTGGCCTGTATGGAAACTGCATTAATCAGAATCTTTGAGTAACTAGGTCCTTCCCCATTTCTCAGCTCTTCCATATCAGCAGGCTTTTACTACAAATCGTCTTGAGGAAGGCTCCTGGTATTCCAAAGAGAATAGCTCAGATGTTCCTCGTACCTAACATCATAGGTCAAGTCAGTAAACTCGGAGTTTTACAGAATCCAGAAAAGTGACAAAGCTCATTTCTCTTCTTGCTCATGTGTTTTCTAGTCTTTAATAGTAGAAGCTAATAAACAGGTCTAACCTTTTAGGATCTGAATTCCTTTAGCAGCAGAGTGTGTGCTAACCTACTCACTGAATGTGAGCAGCTTTAGTTCTTTTTTACTACTTCTTCCTCCCCATGTGGGTGGGAAACCTTAGCAGGTACTCTTAGAGGCAGCCGGCCGCCTGTGCAGCTGTGGATGAATAGAAGGCGCCCCCCGGGGCTGTAAAGGGCCGTGTGCAGTCACGAGTTTCCGCCAAGACCTCTAGTCCTCGGTGCTTTTTCCTTTCCTCCCAGGATACTCCACGGTCGCACTGAGGTTCATTTGATTTTGACTTAGTAACTCTGGGCCACACACATTTGCTTCTTTGACTTTCGATAGATAACTGAGTTCCTCAGAGTGCATGTGGGCCTGTTGGCAGGCTTTCCAGGAGAAACAGGCCTCGAGCTGGACCCTGGAAGTAACACGTGGGTGTCTGACGTGAGAGGAATATTGAGTGACTGCTGCTCTTTGTTGCAGGATCCTTCTGAAGAGGGGCTGTTTGAGGAGGTTCCCGTGGTGTTTGAGGAGCTCCCGGTGGTGTTTGAGGATGTGGCGGTGTATTTCACCCGGGAGGAGTGGGGCGTGCTAGACAAGCGGCAGAAGGAGCTGTACAGAGACGTGATGCGGATGAATTATGAGCTGTTGGCATCCCTGGGTAAAGATCCCTGTAGGCCCTTGTTTGCCACCATCACTTGACATGGGAAACCCACAAGGGCAGCTGTGGCTCGTAGTCATCACCCCATTTCTGCCCTCTCCCTGTCCATAGGCAGAGAGTGAGTATATATTTTGCATCTCAGAACTCTCCCTGCTTTGGGATACTGTGCTTTTTCTCCTCTTCATCCGCCCACCTGTCACCCATCTTCCACCAGACATTTGTTGAGTACTTACTACGTGCTGGGTGAACATGAGTGAGTCAAGATCTCTGCTTTCAAGGGGCTGGCAGGTTTGTGGGAGAGACAGACACTTTGATAAGAAACTGTAAGATCATACAAGTTCCATAAAAGAGGTTCAGGAAAGTGCCCAGGGGCTGCCAAGGAGAGTGATTTAATTGAGCTGGGCATCTGAGGGAGGGATAAGGACAGTCTGAACAGAAGTGTTTTAACTGACTTGAAAGCCAGGTGCAGAGGGAGGAGAACTGGCATCTAGCCACGGCAGAGGGAGGGGCCCGCAGGCGGGCGGTCTCGGCCTGGCAGCACTAGGTCCTAGGTCTGCACTGGAGCAGGAGCAGCGTGGTGTTTGTTGTCTTCCCGGCAGAGTCTTGTCTCCTGCACCTGCTTCTTGTTCTTCTCTTTGCTTCCTTTTTAAATCAGGCACCCAGGGTTCTCACGTGGCACTAAAATGGAATGACAGCTTTTCATCTTATCTGATTTTTGGTTTTTGTGGGGTTTTTTAACTAGCGTATATTGTAACAGAAACCTTGCAGCACAGGCTTCTGTACATAACTTAGGAATTGCAGCAGCGACCTGCATCATTTCTACAGAAGAAGAAATGAGTATTTGTGGCTTAGTTGATGTCATAGCCCCTGGTTTACACCATCCTCTCACTGCAGCTAAGATAGAGATTATTTTCTCAATGTACGTGACCCGTATACTACTTGTTTTTATCGATGTTCAGTTTTTAAATGCCTCCCCCAACATTTAGAAATGACGTGAAACACTTTGTTTCACGAGGACAGAGGTGTTGTAATCATGTCCTGGGCCCCGGGCCCTGGGATGAAGTGCACCTTCCCGAGCATGACTGCCACTGATGATGTTTAAAAGCAGGCAATTCATTTTGAAGAAAGACATCCCCACCCGCAAGAAGCTGATCTTCCCTTGGAAGGAATGGGCAGCAGGGATGTGCTTTGCCTTTTGGGCCCCTTTGGTGGGGAACCAGTAGTACCACAGTGCGTCTCCCACAGAGTGGGCCTGACTTGGCTTGTTCAGCCTGACAGCATCATCTGAGCATTTTATCATTTTCTTCTTAACGTCTATACATTAGGAAGTGGGGAAATCGTAACTGACTGAGGGAAATCAAGGGGCAGTTCAGTCTTGGTTACGTTTTGTTTGGATGAAAAATAAGTATGATCAGAGGAAGAGTAATTCGTTTTGCTTGAGGGTTGAGGGCAGGAGTCAGGGAGGACTGTATGGAGGATGGGGCAGTTCTCTTCAGTTGTCTATGAAATTAAGATGGGCACATGGGTCTAGAAACGGAATATTATTTGGCATTATCTTTTGTAAATGGAACACAAATAGAACTTCTCTTTGGAGTGAACTCAATTTTGAAAAAGAAAACCTCATCATAATTTTTGCAGCCAAGAAAAGTTCTATATGTCTTTAAAAAAATCTTCCATGCATATTTTTAATTGAAGTATAGTTGACTTGCAATGTTGTGTTAGTTCAGATGTAATCCCATCCATTTTTAATGTTTCTTATCTCTTATTTTAAAACACTATGACCTGCTTATATTGGGTGTTACAGGAGGCCTCTATGTTTTCTTTTATTCTTCTGTCTGGAAATAATAATAGTGGCTTTTGCTACTGACTGAGCACCTACCAAGCGCTGGTCCTTGTGTTGAGCGTCTTACATACAATCTCTCTAACCCTTACACAGAACCTGCAAGGCAAGTAGCAGTAGTATTTTCGAATGAGAAAACAGCCCTGAGAATCCAACCCATTTAGCTGCAAAATGGCTAAACTGAAATTCTTTCTCTTCTGCCCATTCCATACGCATCAGACTCAGATAAAATGCCTGCTCTATATATGTTTATTACCAATTGGACGCCATTTCTTTTCATTTCAAGATTGTGCTAAGCATGTTGTTAATTTTAAAATAACAATGGCACCAAGTGTAATATAAGATTATTTAAAAATTTTAACAGTATAAGAATTTTTTGGAAGTCCCCACTCCTATACCCTTCCCCGCTACAAGAGGGTTAGTGGTTTGGTTGGGTTCTCGCGGACCTTCTCTGCAGGTCACTGTTCATTCTCTCGCCTCGGCCTCTGTAAGGACTGGGGTGCAGAAGGGCTGATGCCCTGGGCTGATGGGATGTGGTCACGTCAGCAGCTCTGCTCGGGCCCTGGGTCTTGGTAGGCCTGGTGGTCATCACGCTGCATCCCAGCACATTCGTGCTATGGATTTCCTTTTGCTCTTTTCACTTGAGGAAACCCAGCTAATTTTTCCATTGCTCTTATTAGGATTTACAACTAGCAGATTTGTTCTTTCAGATTTTGTAATTATTGGACCTGTTTTAAAAACAACAGTCTCAATTTAATGCAGTCGAATTCCATATTAATTTCTGTCAGTTGTTTGGCAGTTGAATTGCACTGACTAAAGCTTGTCAGCTGATGGTATGTTTCCAGGTCAGGTCCACTCACCTGTCACAGTCTCCTTGCCCTCACCAGCTGTCTCATCAATGGGGCTGAACTTATGGAGGACAGTCGTTTTGATTACGGAGAAAAGAGGTTTATGTTTTATTTTTAATGCTTTCCTCTGTCAAGTTTAATTTTGTGGACTTGCCCATTTAGAACTATTTATCACTCTGTAGAATTCTGACTATTCTTTTATTTCCATACTTTAAATTCTGGCTTCACCATATTTGGTGACGTCTCTTGCTTTCCTCCAAAAAGAAAACTCGGTTATATTTCACTGTTAAGATACTAATATTTGTCACTAACAGAAGCAGACAAGCCAATATAGGGTCTATGTGGTAAGCCTTGTTTTTACTAGTAAAGGTGTCATCATATGCTGAGCGGCAGGTCACTCAACTTCAGGTGGGCAGTGCCTTTCCTACAGGTGAGGTCATCAACTCAACTAGGCCTCACATAGCTAGGGGTCTGCAGGTGAAATTAAAGGACTCTAGGCACTAACTTGAAATACAGATCTCAGTAAAAGTAAATACATGGGCAGTTATAAAAGCTGGTATTATTGTAACAATGGTTTGTATCTGCACCTTCAGTTCCAAATGATTTAAGAGACCAGTATGCTTAAAGGGAAAAAAATTATTAGTCTAAAAGCCAGTATTTTTCTAGCTTTTGTTGTAACTCCAAATCTTGTTTTCTACAAACTTTAAGGGGCTAATACATTAAAAAGAATTATTAGTTTATCTTTTGGGACACACATTTATAAAGATACAATTTTGTGACATCAGTGGTCAAAAGTGGTATGGAAAGCTGTAAAGGAGCAGAGTTTTTGTATACTGTTGAAGTTTAGCTGGTATAAATTGAAATTAGAATGTTGCAACAAAGCTGGAGGACTCATTTTAAAACTTACTACAAAGCGACAGTAATCAAAACAGTGCAGTACTGGCATAAAGGTAGACATATACCCCAGTGGAATAGAACAGAGAGCCCAGAAATAAGCCTTCACATATGCGGCCAAACGACAAGTGTGCCAATGGAGAAAAGACAGTCTTTTCAACAAATGGTCCTGGGAAAACTAGATATCCATATGTAAAATAATGAATTTAGATCCTTATCTGACACCATACACAAAAATTAACTAAAAATGGATCAAAGACATAAATGTAAGACTTAAAACAATAAAATTCTTAAAAGAAAACATAGAACAGAAGTTCACAACATTGGATTTGGCAATGATTTCTTGGCTGTGACACAAAGGCACAGGCAACAAAAGAAAAAAAATAGACCAATAGGGCTTCATGAAAATTGTAACTTTGTGCATCAAAGACATATAAACATAGTACAAAGGCAATGCAAAGAATGGGAGAAAATATCTGCAAATCATATATCAGGTAAGGGGTTCATATCCAGAATCTACAGAGAACCCCTAAAACTTAACAAAAAAACAACCTGTTCAAAAAAATGGACAAAGGACTTGAATAAGCATTTCTCCAAAGAAGATGTACAAATGGCCAATGAGCACATGAAAATATGATCAATATCACTGATCATTAAAGAAACGCAAATCAATACCACAGTGAGATACCACTTCACACCCATTAGGACGGTTCATATCAAAGAAGTGGAAAATAGCAAGTGTTTTTGAGGATGTGGAGAAATTGGAACCCTTGTGCCCCTTGGTAGGAATATGAAATGGTACAGTCACTGTGGAAAACACTATGGCGGCTCCTTAAAGAATTTAAAATACAATTATCATATGACACAGCAATTCCAATTCTGAGTATATATCCAAAATAATTAAAAGCAGGTTCTCAAAGAGATATCTGTGCACCAATATTCACAGCAGCATTACTCACAATAGCTGAAGTCCAAGTGTCCATGGATGGATAAATGGATAAGCAAATGTGATATATACTATAATGGAATATTATTTAGCCTTTAAAAGGGAAGAAATTCTGAAACATGTCAAAACATGGATGAATCTTGAGGACATTATGCTCAGTGAAATAAGCCAATAACAAAAACATAAAAACTATGATTTCCCTTACGATGAATAATCTGAAAAGGTACTTAGAGTGGTCAAATTCATAGAGACAGAGAGAATGGCAGTTGCCAGGGGATGGGGGGTGGGTGATGGGGAGGTAGAATTTGTTTTATAAGGTGAAGAGTGCTGGAGATGGATATTGGTGATGATTGCATAACCTTATACACATTTAATATCTCTGAGCTATACACTTAAAAATAGTTAAGATGGTAAATTTTATGTTATGTGTATTTTACCACATTTTTTTTAATTGAGGGGAAAAATGTCCTGATTAGACAAAGAAGGGTTTACAAACTGTTCCAAATTAACAGGGACTAGAGAAACATGCTGCCTAAGTGCAGTGCAGGATTGTGGATTAGATGCTGGACTAGGGGAAATAGTCGTGTAGCTAGCTGTAAAGGACATTTCGGGGACAATTAAAGACATTTAGTTGTGGACTGAGGATTAAATAGTAGTATTATATCAATGTTAAATTTTCTGTTTTTGCTCATTTTACTTTGGTTATATAAGACATACTAGTTTTTCAGTTGCCACACACAAATTATCACAAATTTAGTGGCTGAAAAACACCCATTTATTATCTCATAATCCTGGAGGTCAGAAGTCCAGGTGGACTCAGCAGGGTTCCCTGCTTAGGGCCTCACATGACTGAAATTAAGGTGTCCACCAGACTGTGCACCAATATTCTTGTGCTTGTAATCAGGAGGCTCTGGGAAGAATCACTGGGTTATTTGGTAGTTGGCAGAATCAAGCTCCTTGTGGTTGTAGGACTGAGGTCCCTGTTTTCTTTCTGGGGCTGATCAGGGAGCATTCTCAGCTCTTAGAGGCTGTTCCCAGGTCCTTTCCACATGGCCATAAAATCCTCAGTCCAGCAACAAAATGAATCCTCTTTGTGCTTTTGTGCTCTGACTTCCTCTGCTTTTAAGCTGCTGGTATGATTACATTAAGCCACCCAGACAACATCTCTTTTGATCCATAACGTAATCATGGATGTGATATCATTTCATAGATTCCACTCACACTCCAAGGGGCAGGGATTGGGGTCCCTGGAGCTCATGTTAGAATTCTGTCTACCCCATAAGAGAATGTCTTTTTCCTGAGTAATACTCATGGAAGTATTTAGGGATACAGGGAGGTATGAAAGCAATTTAGCCTCAAATAGTTCAGAAAAAAAAATATATATGTGTATAATTTATATATTTAAAAGATCCCCAGGTAACTCCAGTGTGCAGCCTGCACATAGACATATATATGTTTTTATATATTATGCATATATATAGAGGAGAGGGAGGGAGGGCACATGAGCATGATAAAGCAAATGGGACAAAATGCAAATGATTAGAGTTCCTTGTTTTAATATTAAAACTTTTCTATAAGTTTTAAATGACGTCAAAAATTGGACTGAAAAATAGGAAACAAAAGTCCAATCCTTATGTAGTGAATTAAAAATCTGGACTTCATTTGAAGCTAAAGTTTCTTGCCTCTCCCATCTCAGCCGCTTGAGGTCTAGAATCTGGAATCTTGCGATAAGGAGAAAGACATTCTCCTCCTACCCCTAGCTTGTTCCAGGGCTTCTGCATCCTGGCTGGAAACAGTCGTGGGGAGGTGGGGAGGAGAAGTATAAGAAAGGTTTTATCTGGCATCTGGGTAATGAGATACCAGTTCCTTGTAGCTGGGATAACTGAAAGCTGATTCTCCAAGTGTGTCTGTGGGTTCTCCACTCCCCCAGACCCCGGTCGCTGGAGGCCTCTCACTCCACTGCAGTGGGTAGTGTCAGCTTTAGCACTCCCCCGTGCATGGGTTCCTTGGGGGAGCATCATGCCAATAGACAGTCAAGGGCAGTCCCTTTAAGTGGCTCCAGGCACTTTCCCTGTGGGGCTCATATCTGGATGATGGAAAACACTTATATATCTTTTGCTCTGACAAGCCCCGTGAATATAGACTCTTCCCAAATGGCCACAACGAAGAAGACCATCAGTCAGTTACACCTTTAGTCTTTTCCAGGCCTGGATTTATGAGCAGCCCCACAGCTCCAGAAAATACAGGTCAGGATGCCATTCTCATTAGGCTTAAGGTCAGAGGAAAGTAGCTCACCCCACCCGTCCCCATGGTAGTGTGGGGTCTCCCAGGAACTTGACAGATCTTTCCAGAAATATCTCTAATTTCCAGCTTCCTGACCTCTTCACTCCCAGCGCTTTGACTCCCTCTTAGTGGTGAGAGCTTGCATCACAGCCGAGTATTTCAGCCCCTCTTTCCAAGTCAGGCCTCTGTGGTCTAGCTTTGGAATAGGGAAGAGTTGGCTCCTATTTTGGGGAGCCTTCAGCCAAAACAGGCAGACAGAATCACACTTTAATATCTGTTGCATATGTTTATTGCTATTCCTGATTTATTGATTTTAGATATTATCTATTGATTCCTACTGTGGAGGATGAAGATATGGCCCTCTTACTTCACCCCAGGCCCCCACCTCTCTTCCTTCCATCCTCTCAGAACAGGTATATCATACTTTTTTGGTTAATTCAATGTAAATTATTTGCCTGATTATGATTATGTATTATTTACTTCTAATCAAAGTGGCATATTGTGATGATGTTTCCTTCATTGTACAATTTTCCCGCCCAGAATTGGAATTTTTTAATTTTTCATTTTCCTAGTTTTCCATGTACTATCACCAGTTGTTCTCAAACTCCCCCATGAAATTAAACAACTCCTCTGAAGAGTCTTTTCCACATAATCAAACATCCTGTGACTTACTGGTTTTAGTATTTTTTTTTCTGGAAACTTCTGTCCTTGGGTTTTCCATTCCTCTGTTGTCTCTAAACTAGTTATTCTCTAGGCCTGCTGCATAGCTGTGGTCTCAGACTTTGCTTTGTCTCTTTCCTATTTCCTGGACCTATTGCTTCTTTTAGGTTTATGTCTTCATTTTGCCGGAGGACATCCTTCAGTAACTTCCTAAGAAAGGTGCATGGGAGGAACTTTTTAAAAGACTGCATATCTAAAAATGCCCTTGTTCTGCTCTCACAATTGATAATTTGGTTGGGTATAGAATTCCAGGTTGGAAAGGATTTTCCTCAGCATTTTGAAAGCATTGCTTTTAGGGTTACAGGTGCTGTTGAGAAGTCTAAATGCCTTTTTATTCCTAAATCTTTGACACGGCCTGTTTTCCCACTCTGAAAGGTTTTAAGGTCTATTCCAGTGTTAGTGCTTAATGACAGGGCTTTCTTTACTTTTGTTCTGGGTATCTGGTGCTTCCCTTCCATGTGGAAACTTACATTTTCCAGTTTGGGGAAACATTCTTGTATTACGTCTTCCTTTCTATTTTCTCTTTTCTTTCTTCTGAGAAGTCCTATTAGTTAGATATCAGACTTCCTAAATCGAGCCTCTGGTTTTGTTTTTCTTTTTTTCTCCTATTTTCTGCTTCTGTCTTTTTTTGTTTTACATTTCTGGAGATTTCCTCAATTTTATTTTCTAATAATTCTATTTAATTTTCAGCAGTTTCTTCTGTCATATTTTTAGTCTAAGAGCTCTACTGCTCTTTTCATGGGTAACTGTCATGTCTTTTCTCTCTGAGATTATTCTAGTTGGGAGAAGGGGGTGAAGTTTTGTTTTGCTCCCTTCAGTATCTCTAGTTCCTTCAATACTTTTTCCTCCTTGTTTTATGTTAGCAGTTTGTCTTAAATAAATATCTTTAGATTTACTCATATTTAAGAGTAAAGACTTGGAAACTGGCTAGGAGCTCTGTGTGCATGGCTGGGACTTACTAAGGAGTGGGCTACCCTGCAGTGTGACCAGCTATGAACCTTGGAGATCTCATGGAAAGGCCCTCCAAAGTCTAAATTTGTAGGTCTTTGGGGGAAGAGGGCAGGGGAGGGGCAATTCCATTTCTCCAAAGAAAACTTCCCATCTCCTGCTTGGCTGTACCCTGAGTCCATATTCTCGGAGCTTCTGGTCTGCAGACCATCTTCATCTGTTTGCATTGCAGCCTTTCTCTTTCATCTTTCACCAGCCCCACTGTCCCAGGGCCCAGAACCTTTCTGGTTAAGTTTTTCTGTAGACGAATCTCCTCCTAAAGGGAGGGTGGTGGTGTTTCCTGGTTTCCTGGAATAAGTGAGAGGACCTGGGATCAAACTGGTCTCTGCAGACCTTAAGCCCTGTGTCCACGCCTCCTTACCCACCACCTTCTGCCACACCTGGTGCCTCCAGGTCCTGGCTTTTTGGAGATTCTGGGGTCAAGGTCACTTCCTTCTCCTTGTTACCCTCTCTGCTGGCATTTGGTGTTCAGCTCTGTAAGTTCTCTTTTATCTCCTTTCCTTCTAAAAAGATACTAACATTTCTAATCCAACATTTCTCTTGGGCTTATTATTATTATTTCTTTGCCCTCATTTTAGAGATATTTGAAGAAGGATATGGGTTCAATCTACCACAGTTTAATAATTTATTATATTGTTATTAGTAGTAAATATGTTTATTCATACACACACATGAAAATACAAACATATTCAAGTGATCCAAAGATGAACAGTGAAAAAAGTCTCCTTCTTACCTTGTTCTTCAGTCCCTCCACAGAAGCACCCACAGCTAGCAGTTGCTTGTATATATGCTTTCAGAGAAAGTTCCTACACACATTCACATAAATACATACAAAAGCATGTAAGTAGAGATGAATGGATTTTCTTTTAAATCAGGAAAGTGATTTCTTTGCATTCCCCTGAAAAATATTCGTATTTTCAGTAAAGGGCAGTGCTTAACCCAAAGACATGAATCTCAGTCGGGTTTCAGGCTCCATTGCAGGTGGTAGACATTGTTAAGAGGTCTTTCAAGGGCCCTGTGTAGTTAGCCGCCTGCACCAAGGCCAGCTGTGGGTGTCGCTGTGGGTGCTGCTGTTGGCACATGCAGGGGACAGTTGTTGGTGGCCCTCGCCCACCTCTCGTGTGGCTTTCTTTATCATCCCTGTCTTCTCTCCTTCTATTTTGTCCTCTGTATTTCTTCCCGTTGTCACACTTTCCCTCTGGATGTGTTTAGCTGACTCGTGGCTCCTGTGGCTGACCATGGGGTTAAGGAAGTTATTTATCCTAGCTAAGGGGTACACCCTCATCTGGATGTCTCTTTGGGTTTTAAGAATAAATTGGCACCCTAGATGGGTATGCTTTCATCGTGCCCCTGGCTGAATAGATGCTATTAAGAAATAGCCCCAGAGTCATCCCTGAATATTTCAGGTGGGCTGCTTGTCCAGAGCAGTGACATCAGTGTGACTCTTCGTCCCTGCAACAGGCCCTGCTGCTGCCAAACCAGACTTGATCTCAAAACTGGAGCGGAGAGCTGCACCCTGGATCAAGGACTCAAACGGGCCAAAGTGGGGGAAAGGCCGTGTTCCAGGTGGGTCCTGACCTGCTGAATTCCGAAGGCTATGTCCAGGCGCCCAGGCAGCGAGGGCAAGTCACACAGTGTTAGTTCAGCCCTCATCACGCTGGACCTGTTGTACACCAGGCCCTATACTGAGTAAGAAACAGTAAGAAATTGAGTAAGAAACTAACCCTGCCCTCATAGTGTAGAGTAGCCTGAGAAACTGGGACGGTTTAGGAAAATAGGGAGCTTTGATGAGCGGAAGTGAAACAGGGGCTGTTGTAGAGCTGATGGGGGAGGAACATGGTAGATACTGGTCATGAGGGGCCATGTGACCCACAGGCCTGCGAGCCTGTCCTCCCTTCTCCCCGCTCCTCTGGTATTTAGTGACGACACCGTTGGTCTGTGAGAGTTGGCTGTTTTGCACATCTCAGTCAGTAACTGCCTGGCTGCTGGCTACGATGTATACTTTTGTGCCCCCTTGTTTCTAAGGCTCACAAGACTTATGAACATTTAACCTTATTTTTTGTGGTGCCTTGAAGGAGGATTAAAACCATCCAATAGCAAGTATGGCCAAGGTGGTTAATTAAGCTTATTAGCATCTGATGTCTCATGATCCCAGAGTAGCTGTGTGGCTAGAGAAGGGGAGGCTGCCTGAAGAACCCACAAGAATTAGCAAACAACTCTTAAGGAGCCAGACTGCATTTCATAGAAAACAGCGGGGAAGGGTTTAAATAGAAGCCACTAGTGATTTCTAGAAAGGCAAATCACACTCATCTTCTCTGCTTTGCATAAGGAGTACTTACTGAATTGGGATATCTTAGCTGATAGGAGGCTGCAGAGTTCTGGGCAGCAAAACCAAGCGCAATTTGATTTGCTCCCAAGGGAAAAAGAAGAAGATGGTGGCTGTAAGTGAGGCACACACACGGGCCCCGGCTGGAGAATCTGCATTGCTTCCAGCTCCTTCTGTGGAGATGTGCACCCGCTACTGTGGTCCCAGCCTTTGTGAAGTACAAGTAGACGGACAGAGGAAAATCAAGAGGACATACAGACCCCGCTCAATTCAGAGGTCGTGGTTTGGGCAGTTCCCGTGGTTAGTAATTGACCCAAAAGAGAGCAAGCTCTTCTGCTCAGCTTGCAAAGAAAGACCCAGTCTCCATGACAAATCATCCCGGTTAGTCCGAGGTTACACGGGTCCTTTCAAAGTGGAGACTTTAAAGTACCATGAAGTTAGCAAAGCACACAAGCTCTGTGTCAACACTGTGGAAGTCAAGGAAGATTCCCCACAGGCTGCCCTAGTCCCTGAGATCTCCAGTGACCTGATGGCCAACATGGAACATTTTTTCAACGCCGCTTACTCCATAGCATACCACTCGAGGCCCCTGAACGACTTTGAGAAGATCCTGCAACTCCTCCAAAGCACCGGGACCATGATTTTGGGCAAGTACCGAAATCGCACCGCCTGCACCCAGTTCATCAAATACATCTCTGAGACTCTGAAGAAGGAGATCCTCCAGGATGTCCGGAACTCCCCGTGCGTGAGCGTGTTGCTGGACAGCTCCACAGACGCCTTCGACCAGTCCTGTGTGGGCATTTACATCCGCTACTTTAAGGGGGTGGAGGTGAAAGAGTCTTACATCACCCTGGCCCCACTCTACAGCGAGACAGCGGATGGATACTTTGAGACCATCATCTCTGCTCTGGATGAACTGGACATCCCCTTCCGGAAGCCTGGCTGGGTAGTGGGCCTGGGAACCGATGGCTCAGCCATGCTGAGCTGCAGAGGAGGCCTGGTGGAGAAGTTCCAGGAGATCATACCCCAGCTGCTGCCAGTGCACTGTGTGGCCCACCGGCTACACCTGGCCGTGGTAGACGCCTGTGGGGGCATCGACCTGGTCAAGAAGTGTGACCGGCACATCCGGACCGTCTTCAAATTTTATCAGTCCTCGAACAAAAGGCTGAATGAGCTGCAGGCAGGCGCGGCTCTGCTGGAGCAGGAAATCATCCGCCTGAAGGACCTGAACGCTGTCAGGTGGGTGGCCAGCAAGAGGCGCACCCTGCACGCGCTCGTTGCAAGCTGGCCCACCCTGGCCGGGCACCTCCAGAGCGTGGCGGAAGCAGGAGGCCAGGTCGGGCACCGGGCCAGGGGCATGCTGAAGCTGGTGAAGAGCTTCCACTTCATCAAGTTCTGCCACTTCCTCTTGGACTTCCTGAGCATCTACAGGCCCCTGTCCGAGGTGTGCCAGAAGGAGATGGTGCTGATTACGGAGGTGAACTCTGCGCTGGGGCGGGCCTATGGAGCACTGGAGACCCTCCGTCACCAGGCAGGACCCAAGGAGGAAGAGTTCAATGCCAGCTTCAGGGATGGGCGGCTTCACGGCATCTTCTTGGACCGAATGGAAATGGCAGAACAGCGGTTCCAGGCGGACAGGGAAAGAATGATCCTGACAGGGATTGAATACCTCCAGCAAAGGTTTGACAGGGACCGTCCCCTGCAGCTCAAGAACATGGAGGTGTTTGACACCATGGCCTGGCCCAGTGGCGTGGAACTTGCCAGTTTTGGAAATGATGATATTCTCGCCCTAGCCAGGTATTTTGAGCTCTCGCTCCCCGCAGGATACAGTGAGGAAGCACTCCTGGAGGAGTGGCTGGGCCTGAAGGCCATTGCCAAGAACCTCCCTTTCTCCATGCTGTGCAAGAACGCCCTGGCCCAGCACCGCCACTTCCCCTTGCTGAGCAGGCTCATAGCTGTGGTGGTCTGCGTGCCCATCTCCACCTCCTGCTGTGAGCGGGGATTCAGTGCCATGAACCGGATCAGGACCGATGAGAGGACCAAGCTCTCCAACGAGGTGATCAACATGCTCATGATGACAGCGGTGAATGGCGTGGCAGTCACAGAGTATGACCCCCAGCCCGCCATCCAGCACTGGTACCTGACTTCCTCAGGCCGGCGTTTCAGCCATGTCTACACCTGTGCCCAAGTGCCACCCCACTCCCACACAAGTAAGTAACCCGTGGTGGAGCCCCTGGATGTGGGAAAGCAAAGGAAGAAATCCTACCTCCCCAATCCCATGCTGAGTGTGAAGCCTGGTAGCGTCTGATGAAGTCGGCCATCACACTAGGCCTGGTCCAAGGTGTCCGCTGAGCTTCCACAGTGTACCCAGCCCTTTGCTAGACCAGTGGGTGCTCGAGACGGCACACCTATCCTCGAGGAGCTTATGATCGAGCTGGAGAGGCAGGACATACGCACTGCAGGCAGCAGGGCAGAACGCTTAGAGCAGGAATTTCCAAGCAAGTTGGCCGAGGTTCAAGTTCCAGTCCTGCCGCTGACTAGCTTGTGACCTCGGGCAGCTTCATCTCTTTGTGCTTTGGTTTTTCATCTGTAAAGCGAGTGAAGAGATGTGAAGTGCTCAGAACAATGTCTGGCAGGTAGTGCCGATGGCACTCTTAAAAGGTGAAGGCCGCCACCGGCAATGATGGGAGGACTGGACACATTAGGGCAGAGATACTACATTCCCGGTGGGGGTGTGTAGGTTCTGTTGAGAGAAGAGGTCAGTGCAGGTCTGAGGGGCTGCGAGGAAGGTACCAGCGGAGGAGAAGTTCGGGGTGTTTCAGGCAGAGGAGGAGTCAGTGAGGAGAGCCCCCTCACTAGCTTGGAGGGCCGGGGCGGGGGGGACTAGGCTTGAGGAGGAAGCAGTATTATACTGGAGGGCAAGTTACTGAACGTCTTAAGCGAGAAAGTTTCCTCTTTTCAAGTAGTCACTGAGCACCAAAGAAAATTAAAGAGCGTCTCCAGGCTGTTCCTGTCTTACTGAACAGTGACCGAGCCAGGATTTTTCTCTCTGGATGTCTTCTGATAGCTGTTCCTATTGCTCTGCTCTCATTTTCCCTCCGAGTCTGTGGTCATCAGTAGTGGACCGGCCTCAGGGTTGACAGAGGCTCTGTAGGAAGCAGGCTGGCCCTGGACCTGCTGCTGAGCGGTGGGTGGAGGGGGGCCCGTAGAAGTGGAGAGAAGAAGGGAGGGTGATTCCAAGACGAGGCTCATTCACCCGTCCATTTGCTGAGTGAGTTGCTTTCTGTGCCCAGCCCATGGGGATGAAGGAGAAGATGCCACCGGGCGGGTCCTTTGGTGGGTTGTAATCACAGGGACAGTGGGACTAGTAAACCTGAAGCAAACAGAGAACACTACCAGATTTTAGACAATAAAGCCTTCCTTCACAGGCAGTTTCTCATCCTCAGCTCTGTTGACATTCGGGGTCAAATAACTGTTCATTGTGGGGGCCCATCCTGTGCGCTGCGGGAGCTTTAGCCTGGCCGTCCCTGGCCTTTCCCACTACATACCCACTGGATACCCATAGCACCCTCCCAGCTGGAGCAAGCAAAGATGTCTCCGGACACTGCCGTATGTCCCCTGGTGGGCAGAATCACCCCCAGTGAGATCTGCTGTCCTGGGTGGAAGAGCCTGCAGAGTGGGAATAGGTCAGGCCTGCCAAGAGCAGCCCTTGTCCTGTCTCCAGCCTCTTCTGCCATGATGTTTTCACCAAATGTACCTTGGGGCGCAGCTGGATGTGGGAGGGGGGTTATCATCTAATTTGTTTCCTCTGTCTGATTGTGCGTTCCCTTTCCTCCTGCATGAGGTGCTGGGCTCAGGAAAGAGAAGATGGGAGCACTCTGTGTGGAGGAGGCTGTGACCCAGAAGCCGCCCATTCCGTCCTATAGGGGACCAGTGGAGATCCTGAAGGACTGCATCCTGGACCCTCCCAACAGACTCCTGGGTCCCCATCCCGGCCAAGAGGCCCCCACACTGTCCTGATCAAGAGCTCTGGTCGAAGCAGGCATAGTAGGGATCGCCTTGGAGACCCCCATGCTGCCCTGGCCCTTGTGATCACGATGACAGGCCCTCTGAGAGTCTCGGCTGCCCCAGAATCTTCGTTTGGTGGGGACTCTAAGCACCAGGAGGTGGGCAGTGAGAAGACAGTTAAGCCCACATCTCAGAGAGGCAGGAGGCACGCATGCAGCCTGTTTGCCAAGGCCCTTCCCTTAGCAGAGCTGCAACCTCACAGCACTTAATACACAGAAAGGTTCTTATCTCAAGCTCATTTTTAAGGTACTTCAGGAAATAATCCCATCATGGAAGATTTTGCCCCATGTTCTGGTGGCCAGAGGACTTTTCTGAAGTGGGAGAGATGGTTAGGGGCAGGGCTTAAGCCCCTAGATAGTTAGGGAGCGTTCCAGGAGGCCGCTCGCCGCGCCAGAGGCATGGAGAAGGCATGTGGTAAGGGGTAGAGGATGACCAGGTCCAGGGGGAGCTGGCCTGGATCTGTCACCATGGCTCCATGGCAGAAGCCAGGAAGCTTCAACTTCAAATGGGAGACACCAGAGAATTTCTCTGCCTCCTCCCACGGCCTTCCTGTAGCGTGAGGCAAGCAGAACCCCTTTGCACAGAGCACTCGAGAAAGATCATCCCCCTGCAGCTCCAGAACGGGAGGAGTGTTTCCCAGGAGGGAGCCTGCCACGTCCCTCCAGTCACAGCCTTGTAGCATGCTGAGCTCGGGTTTTGTACGGAGCGGAGCAGACAGGGCAAGTGTGTACTGGGGAGGCTTGGGCTCCGGTCCCAACTCTGCTGCAGGCAGTGGTTCAACCATGATTTCTGTGCCTCTGTTTCCCTGTCCATGAAGTGGCAGCAGAGACTCCAAGTGCCTGCTGGCGCCCAGGCTGCTGTAGGGCTGAGGAAGGTCTCAGATACACCTCAGGCTGCAGAGGGCACTGGGCTGCCTTCAGCCCCTGTCCTTGTCCCTTGCCACCGACGTCCTTATTGTGGGAAGAGGTGCTCTCTAAACATGCCGTCAGCATCATGGTCTAGTTCATGCTTCCCAGAGTTGCTCTGGGGACCAGCTTGGAAGTCAATAGAGGTGTTTGTTTAAATATGCTCCACCCAGACCTGCCCGATCGGATCCCAGGGACCAGGGCTCAGTGACTGGCTATTTTCAGCCAGGCCCCCCAGGAACTTCGTGGGCTCACTCAAGCTTGAGAATCACCACCCTGGAGGCACAGAAGGGTGTCCCACACTGTCCGGTTCCTGTTGCTCTCTCCCATCTCCCCTTCCTCCCTGAAGTAAAGCACTTTTCCCTCCAGGGCGGCTGCTTTGGGGTAGGCTCCTAGGCTGCTTACCTGGCTGGGGATGATGTAGTGTCTGGGTCCCGCCTTCCTAACCACAGGTGGGAAATGAAGTAGGGTTAGAGGGAAGGGCTTCTGTGCTGCTGCCTCCCTCTTGTGTTAGACAGGCTGGAAGTAGTGCTCTGTCCTGGCCTTGCCGTCCAGCTCCAGGCAGGGTCCCTGCTCTGCGCTGCAGGTCAACCAGTGGTCTGTCCACTTCCCATCTGTGGAAGTTGCTGAGAGCCCCTGAGATGCTGGTATCAGAGTGTCTCACTGTGGGGCAGAATCCCTGGTTCCCGGTGTTTTCTGAATCTTACCTCCCCTCCTTCCCCCGGAGCACTTAGCCTTAGCGCCATTGCTTTCCTGTTTTCTTCAGCTTCGAGCCAGAATTCTGTTCTCACTTTCTGCCTTTTACCTTGTGGAACTATCTCCCTGCCAGCCCCTGGTCCTGGGGCCTGAGGGGTACCACGGGCCCTTGAGTTGGAGCTCTGGTGGTCCATACAGCCAAGATGGAGTCCAGGCCTCGCTCCCCCATTCACATGGGTTTCTATGGGGAGTTTAGAACTCTGTGCTGTGCCAGGTGCTACAGGTGCAAATGGTGGGGTGGAAGAAAGAAGGACCCTTTAAAGTAGGGGTTATAACCTACCACCCTATCCATAGGGATTCAAATTGAGGTGACTTTCTAGCTGGCCTCATTCCTCTGGCTTCTTCCCTCCTTTAAGAATCCTTAGATCAAGAATCTTGATCTTAGATCAAGGTCACAAGCAATGCTGTGTGAGTTCTACACACACACACACACACACACACACAAACACACACACAATTCCCTACCCAGGTCTAGGCATGGAGGTGGGGCCCAAGTAGGGATGCACCCTGCCCCTCCACATCTGGGCCCTGAGGAAGCCTCTAATGCCAACTTGTGAAAAAGTTGGGCCCCTTGGAGGGGGTGACTGAAAATACTATTTCATAAGGATTTGCACTACCCAGGTTTCTCCAGGGGCACAGGCACGCCCTGGCTCCCCTCTGTTAGCTAATGGCAGAGAGGATGACTGATGATTTTGTGCAGGACCACAAGGCTGAAGTGTGAGACCTTTTGCCAGGGTTGGCCTCTTTGTTTTGTTTTAAGAGACTCGCTGTATTTCAGACCCTACGGCCTGGAGAGCCTTCCTGTTTTGCCTCACAAAAAAAACAGGCTGAAGGGCACTGGGAATAGGAGCGAACTGCCTTTGGCCTCCACCCTCATCCTCTACCTGTAATCTCTAGACTGATGCCCACAGGGCCCAGCGTTCTGAGTGACCAGCAGTATAACTGACAGTTTGAGTTCAACAGCCATAGACCAGGCTGGAGGGAGAGGCCTCAGCCCTGTCCTAGCCAGACATGTTCCGAGTGTACTTCTGCTCGTCCTTTGCTTCGGGAGAAGACCAGGTTGAGTTCCTAGGGTGCTAAGTATTTAGCAGGACAGTGTGCAGATTAGCCATTTCCCTCATCCAGGTGTCTTTTAGCCAAGGTCACCCTAGGTGATTGGCCCAGGGATGTCCTCTCCTCTGGTTTCAAAGATGTGCAAATGAGGTTTAAAAAACCATGTTTGATTCTCAGCCTTTTGCTATCTGAATAAAGCAGAGTTTATTTCGACACATGCCTCTGTCCTGTAAATCAGGAACTTGGAAACTGGAAGCGCTGATTGATCAAAGCTAATTATATTTGGCTCCTCTGAAAGCCCGGCCCCGCCTCTAAGTGACGGGCTGGCGCGCCTGCGCAAGTTGAGTTGGCTGAAAGCGCTCCTCTGGGAGGCCGGGTCCTGCTGCGCATGCTCGGCCCGCTGCCCTGCCCGGAGCTGCGCGCACAGGAGCACCTGCAGCTCTGACCTGCATCCCGCCTGGGCATCC